TGTGGCTCACATATCCAATCTTTAAACTCCTTCAAAACCCTTGGGGAAATATTATCTGGCCCAGGAACCTTATTGTTTTTTAAACTTCCCAATTTTTTCTTAATCAGATCAGAATTAATGCAGTCATCTTGTTTGGTCTCATTTTTCATTTATCAACTGATCAAGATGTGGAATACTGTTTAAATCTTCATTAGTAAAAACTGAAGAAAATGCAAAATTTAATTACCCAGCCATCTCATAATCATCAAATACAAGCCTTCCTTTATCATCCCTCAATGGTCCTACACCATCCTAACATTTTGTTTACCCTTAATGTGTTTAAAGAAATTCTTACTGTTAATATTTACATTTTCAGCCAACCTTTTCTCATACATATTTTTTTATGTTCTAATTTCCTGTTTCACCAACTTTCTTGATCTTCTATATTCTTCTAAACCTCCTGTCATACCAGTCAATTTAAATTTCTTAAATTTATGATTCTTTTCTTTAATTATATTTCTTAAACTCTTTGTGATACCTTAAAAAATAACCATGGCAACTGATTATCCACAAATGCAAACCCCCCACTACTAAATATACACGACTGTTTCAGTTTAAGTTTAATTCAAACATTATAATTTAGTTTACATAGCACAGGTGTCATATTTAGTTATTTTTAGAAGTGATATTTTATAGTACGTTTGTTTACCAACCATACATTGTGTAATTCAACTGGTAAGAATTTGCAATTGTTTACAATAGTGAGATTATTGCATCATGCAGCTAAAAATTTCTGAGTTTCTCATTAGTTTGAGTATCATGGGATCAAAATATCTAGTATTGCGTGGAATGTTCCAGACTTCTGCTGGGTTATAAATACACATCAAAAAATCAATATTTAGTTCTAGTTCTAGACTGAGAGATCACAAGTTTAGCATTAAGAGTGTATAGTGGCAATTTTTTAATGCAAAATTATCACAGACTGTATTGTAATAAAAGAAGAGAGAAGAATAATTTTTCTTGCCAATTGTGGTTTAAAGTAACTGAACCAGCCTGTGATGAAAAAGAGACAATTACTTAAAGCTCTGGATACAACTGTGGTAACCAACAGTGTAACAAACACTTCATGTAAGTGTTTTGCATTTAGACAGTTGATTTGAAATGACATAAATTTGCACTAATATCTTAATGATAGGTTACATACCACAGCAGCACTCTGTGAAAGCTTATGTTTACGTGGCCCTGTTTTTAAGTACTTGACTATACTTATATTTTAGTTTAACATTTGCCCTAATAGTTTAGTGATAGGTTAGATACCACAGCAGCACTCTGTGAAAGCTCATACTTGCTTGGCCTTGTTTTTAAGTACTTAACTATACTCATGTTTTAGTTTAACTTAATCCTGTACTCATTTTATTAGTTTTCTGAGTTGTTTCCTTTATGCCAAATCATGATTTTGTTTAATTTTGTTAACCTTATTTATATTGTTTATGCATAAGTTCATCAACCTTTTATTTTAATTCTAAATCTAGTTTTACTTCTTGGTTATTTGGTTCTGTATAGGATTCATTTTATTTCATTTCGTTTGATTTCACTGACTTTGTTCTACTTGCTTTACTTCAATAGTAATCCTTTTCAGTAAGCTAGCTGATATTCTGATTAAATATTGTAATTAATTATAATGGGTGTTTGAAATTTATATGAAATAGTTTCTCCTGTTTACATACGAGTGTCATGACATTATATGCGTAGTCCACTGAAGTGATTATCAAAAATTGACTTAAGTAGTTAAACTTATAATTTGGTTTTTATTCTTAATTTGAAGGTCCTGAGATAAGGAAGAAAATAGTGTATCAATTGGAAAACTGTTATGTTTTACCTCTTTAATAACTTTGGAAAGAACATATCTTTATCCAGGTATATTCTGCTACATTTTTCATGCAGGTGTTCTGTATTTAGTCAGTTGATGTGAAAGGACATAAATTTGCACTAATATTCTATCTTACTGATAGGTTACATACCACAGCAACATTCCATGAAAGCTTCGCCCTGTTTCTGTACCATCACACCCCTAGGGTATTGTTCATACTCAAGTTGAGAGATGATACAGAAATTTGTACAAGGTAGTAAGTACGGGGGTGTATCTCCCTTGAATATATAATAGGAAAAAAAAACATTGATGTAAGTAATCTAGGATTTTGGCATATCACTTTAGGAACCTTTGTGCTGACTAAATAGATGATCAGGATTCTTGCTCTGGTCTTTCTTGTGTGATGACCATCTCTCTCTCTCTCCAGAATGTATGTGAATACCATAGTGATATCCCTAACAAAACTAGGTTCAGTTTTACTATATAGTAATTAAAAGGCAAAAATATATCAAGTTAAAATCAATAATTGACACATTTATTCATACATAGTAATAAATGGTTTTACACAGTATTTATAAAAATAAAATGCATTAGCAAATATTGAATCACACAAAAACAGTATTAAAGTAATGCAATCCACTAAAAGCATTAACTGACAAAGCAATTCCTTTTTGTACTTTAAGTGATGTTTACAGGAGCAAGTTTCTTAAAGACTAAAATCACTAAATTCATGAATAAAAAAAACTGAACAGTATTTAATTTTTATCATCTTAGTCTTAAAAACTAGGATATTAAAAATAAAAACTGTGTTACAAGTTTAAAAAATGAGATTTATTTGGTTGTGAGATTTTTAAGTTTGTACATTAATCAGTATTTACAATAAACAATTAAATTTAGCACAAAGGTAAAGGCTCAAATAACAAAACAAATACAATATACAACTTTTGTAGATGTAAAAATGTTAAACACGTATTAGAAACTGAATCAGGGTTTAAATTAAAGTTGAAGTTCTTAGACTATGCCGCAGTTTCCTAAAAAATTCTAATTTTACTTGTTAGCTTCTAAAACTAAACATTTATACTCATCATTATAAAAGCTGCCTTTCTTTAAACATTACAAATGGTTTACTATCACCAGAGATTTCACATAAATGAGCTAAAAAATATAACACTACATTAGTGAGTACACATAAGCCTAACATAACTGAGGCATGTTTTTTGGTTTAGTATTTTCTTTCTGTGGCTTGTTATAAAAAGACAATTATCTATTTGCAGTGGTTTGTTTGTAAACTTACATAAAAAATTTAAACAAGCTACATTAATAAACATGCCTTGAGCATAAAGGTAAATGCTAAAGCTGCCATACAATGTTATAAAAATAAATGAAGTTACATATACAGTGTTTAAAAATAATATATAGGGTAACTGACATTTTCACTTACAAACAAATCTGTTTACAATAAAGCAATGATGATAAAACATTAAATGAATAATGTTTCTCTGAATTAAAACTCACAGCACAGGATTATTAATATGACTAATTGTAACTTTTCCTTTGGCTTCCTTTAAAACACCGTTAAAAATAAGATAACTGATGTAAAACTGACAGAGATGCATGCTTTTTAAAAGAAATACTTCTTCAATTACTACTGAACCTGCCTTTGAATCCACAGTGCTGCATGCTCTTAGCAAAACTATTTAGTACCTCCATACCACTTGTCACATCTTGGAGATCCTGCTTGAATCTACCACCTGGACTTTGAAATGCACACCTGTTCATACAAAAATATAACATCATGTCAATTAGGGTGGTCCTCCTTTTTGAAGTTTTGATTTACAGCACTCTCACTCCCTCATTTCATTCCAATATATAAATAAGTAATTCACACTAAATTTTATCTATATAGAATAAAATTTAACAGTTGTTCAAGGCAGTTGAAATTTCACCTTGTAGCTTGCATTATATCTGCATATTTTAGAATGTTCCAGAATATTCTAAATTATTCTGAAAGGTTCTAACCTATTATTATGGAATATTTTAGCACATTCTGGAATATTCCAGATTATTCCACCTTATTCAGAATGTTCCATAACATTCCATAAATAAATTATCCATGCTGTAATTTTTTACTTCAGGAATATTCTGTATTCTAGTTTCTAGAATTTCTGTGACAGTATATAAGCACTTAAGCAGATTCTTCCATATCATTTCAACTGACACTGTATTGGCATATAACTGCAAATGGACACTACAACAAGAAGTAAGACCACACTTTTGCTGCTTAGTTCAGAAGAAACTGAACTAACAGGAAGCAAATTACCTTCAAATAAGCAAATGCTGTATATGTTTTTATACTATCACAAAATATTAAAGAAAGTTCATGAAAGCTCAAAAGTTATGATCAAATAGACTGCATTTTTTGGAACAAGGCTTGAATTCCAATTTGTTCAGAGCATCATGCCATTATTAAATATGCAAAGCTAAAGAAAAGCTCAAAAAGGAAAACTAAAACACAGTGAATCAATGAAGCAGAGTTTGTCAATAATCTGGATGACCTTTTTGACATCACTCATATGGATGCTCTGACCCTGATTAATATTCCAGACCAGAAGGACTTTCCTCTTGCTCAGAAAAAAAAAGGGGATGTCATGGATGCATGAGCCAAGTAGATAAGGTTCTTTCTTTAAAGGAATCATGGGCTTAGAAAAGAAGTAAGGCAAGTATGGACAGGAAACAGAGAGCAAAGCAGGAACAGCAGACCTTGAATGAAAATGTCAGTTGTTGGAAATCATCCCACAGCAGTGATAATGAAGTTGGTGGATACAGTACCAATAACAGTAATGAAGACAGAAGAGCAATTCTAAACCTAAAATGAAGGCAAGAAAAATATTATCACTCCTGGTTTAGCAGCAGCTATGGACAGAACTAAGCTGAATGACAGGAAGGCAACATTTGACCTTCCAGCCCCAGCTCACAGCCTTGTTCATGATGTGTAGGAGCAATGGTAAAGGCACTAAATGAGAGGGAGGGCAAAAATTACCATCCAGAGCTGAATCTAGCTGAATAGCAGGAAGTCTGAGGACACATCAGTTTAAGATTTCATCACAAAAAACACAACATACTTTTTGTATGCCTCAAAATTCCATCTGGATTTCTGAATTATGACCCATAGTCATGGAAGTTCAGAGATGACTACAGGGAGGCACTACAGATAGTTCAACAGTTGAATGTGGTAAATGACAATGCTGAAAGGGATGTGGTCTTTATTGAGGAGTATAATGCCATCATAATAAAGAAAGAAGAAAAGAAACAATTCCTCCTTCAAGTTGTGCAGGATTTGAGAAGCTTTCCTAACAGTAAAAAGGAACCCATAACAATGCAAAAGTGACTAACCACATCAAAATCATACAATTATACTATTGTACATGTAATATAATAATAATACCTTAAATAAATCATTTATAATACAAAACAAATATGTTTTTATATCATATGGTACATGGGTACCAGGTCGCTACAGTTTAGAACTTAAATTACATAAAGCAGCCTCTAAATAAGTTCCAAAATGGATCAAGTTTGACATTTAATGTTTTTTTAAAAAATTGGAACAAAATTAGAGGATAAGAGCTTTACAATTTTTAACCTGAAATTTTACCTATAAATAAAGGACACCTTAATTTATATATATACTTATTTCTTGAGTTACCGTTTTGTTGTATGTGATTCAACAGAATCTTGTCTTAATGTAGTCAAAGAGGGAGGACTTGGAGTTTCAATGCAAAATGGTGAGTACAGTTTCACTGGAGTACCATTCTCATCAAGTTGATTATACTGACTGTTTGACGGAAGTCGAAGTCGTCTTCGAGTGGAAGAACGTAAACGCTGAAACAGAATTATACCAAACATTTACTCTATGTAACACATCTATATTTTTGCATTACAAGGACTGAATACAAATTAGTATTTACAAGAATTTGGACCCACTGAATTAGATGCATACATTTTATATAACAGCACAATCATAATTTCTAATTATTGTTTATAATCAATTATATTTGTTATAATATTAGACTAGCTGTATTCTTAAAAACTGCATTCTTTATTTGATCCCTCAGGATTTTTCAAGAAGAGTGTATAATAGTATTTCAAACACACTACACACAAAATTTAGTGTTTATAGCATTTACATTATTTTCTCAAGCTAGAAATTCCTATTTTGACTTCCCTAAAATTGATAAATACTGTAGACATGGAGTCAAAATAGGGAATTGTAGCTTGAGAAAATAGTGTAGACATTATTTCCAGCCTAGTTTGTTTAAGTTTTTTTCAAGTCCCTAGTTGTTGGCTAGAAAATATAATCTCTGCATTTTGATTCAACTTATCTGTGTACTTTTTGAACAATCCCTAGTCTCATTTTTAAATTAACAATTTTTAATTATCTTGTTTCTTAAGTTTTTGCATTTCCATTTATGGAGAATAAATTTTAAGTTACATACATACATATGCACGCAATTCAATATTTTACTGCTACATTGGCTTTTTTTTCCAACTATTATTTATTGAATGTGCCCGTGTTTTCATGTAAACACTCGCTTAACAAGCATTGAGTACAAAGGAAGCCATTCACAACAACATTTCATATATTATATACTTATAGCCACATACGCAACTTTCAATGAAAAATAATGAACTTTTTAAATAGGTCATGGACATTCACAGCATTTCATATAGTATATCTGTCTAGGTTTTGGTACAAAATACCCAGTAGATTTTGTTGTAGGCTTGTAAAACAAAAATATGAATAATAATAATAATAAAATACATACTCACAATTTCAGCAAAGTATGAAAATAATAGAATAAATCACCACTCACAAGAGTAGAGAAATCTACTATGACAATCCTCTACAGTTAGAAAACTCACCAAAATAGTTGCAGAAAACCACATAAAAACTACAACAGTGAACTAGAGAAATAATGAATTCTCAATGTAGCAGTTTCCCATTAATGCACATTAGTAAAACACTGGATTTTTTTCAATGGCAGAAAGTGAAGGAAATTCTTCAGGGCAAAAAAACAAAAGCACTTCAATTAATTTTAAAACTACCCTATTGTTCAGGTTTCAGTAAAATATTCATAGCTGTTTTTTCTGTAGCAGCTTGTAAAACTATAATCATTAACCCTATGCTACAGGTATCCTTTACTGTGCATAACTAGGGTTTTAATGTCTTACATTCAAAATTTTATTAAACTACTTTTTGTTTATGTTATACCAATTAGTATAGAATAAAATCTTAGCTAATAATCCATATTTAATAGTATATAAGTTAACCTCTTTCTTCTATAAGGCAATATTTAAAAAAATCCTGAATTTCCCCTAGTGTGACACACATTATACATTTTCTCTAAGTATCTTCTCTTCTTTATTTTAACCATCACCCCTCCAGTAACTAAGAAATTAAATGTAAATTACTCACTATAAAATTGTCATTGCTCAGACAAACCATAATTTTTATAGCCTTTTTGTATGGTTACAGAGCTGTCAAATCGAAAATAAGACCCCTTCTGCTACATCCATCTGTCACATCTCTCTTTCAGGATTTGTTAATAGTTCTCTCTTACATTTAATTATATATTACCTATAACCAATAGCAAGCCAAGGTTCTTATCTATCAAATGATGCATTAAATTAAGTAGTGTTCTGATCAGATAATTGTCAATTTCACTTATAGTACAGGCTTCATTTCCACAAAAAAGGTAACAACTTGCTTGGATGAATTTGTAACAGTTCTTGTCACATAGTTAAAAAGCCAAAAAAATTACGACTGTTAGAGGAAATTGTCTGCTTTTTGCACTTTATTTTTCTATGTTCTCTGGTGCATTATTCAATTAAATAAAAAATTTTTAATGCACTACTATCACTAGTTCAAAAAAGTAGGGTTAAGTATCATCGATAGTCGACAGCAAAGTTTTTTAAAAAAAAAAACTAGGGTAAGTATTTTATTTCTTGTTTTTCATGTTTATTATTTATTAATTATTTAAAAAGTACCTAAAATGTAAAAATAGGGATAAAAATAGTTAAGGTTATGTAAAATAAATAATTATAACATAATAAAAATGTTTCACAAGGCAAGCATGTGAGCAACTTTTGGGTAACGTAATTTGATAGTGTAATGAGAACTCCTGTTCCTCAAGTGATTTACAACTTATAATGGCACAAATAGTAGCTAGACACAATTCAAATGGCAATAAAGCAATAAAATTTAATTATAAATAGATATATACTGTTATGAGTTTAGAGCTACTTAGAATAAACCAGTGTAGTTTCATGTTACAATTGAAGTCATTCTAGAAAGAAAAAGAGGGTAATTTAAATTATTTCTCTTTTTTTGGGGGGGTGGGGGATTACGAGGTTGGACAAATTGATCAATCATGTATAGAGTTAGGATAGAAAAAATAACAGATAAAATATAAAGTTTTATTGAAAACAAACACTTGAAATGTATTTAGGTTTTAGAGGTTACACAAATGAAATTTGATATTTTTTAACATGAAAATCATTTTGCACATGGACTATTCAAAACAAATACTTAATATATTCAAAGACAAATCTTTTTTTAGTTTATTAAAAATATATAATTTTTTTTGTCTGTGAAAGACTTCATGTTTATTGAAAGACTGCCAAATTTCGTGAAGATATACACATTATATTAACAGTAAGTAGTATCAAATCTATAAAGACTGAAATTGATTGTCAAATTGACCCAACCCATGTTGAGAGAGTTAATAATAAAGCTTGAGACATTGTTATAAATATAAATATTGTTTACTCTAGGAAAACAAAGTATTTCCAACTAGAATGACAGCACTTAAACACATTCTACATTTCTGTAATGCTTGAACGGCTTTGATGAGCTTATGTTTGTAGTGAAGAACTCAGTAAATTTTAGAGGGTGGAAAAGTAATAATTTCCCTACACTGAAAATGTATTTCCAATAGGTACTTACTTCCTTTCACATAAATAACTATTCTTGTTCAGTGCTGCCCTCTATATGCAAATTTATTTTATATTCATGCCACAAGCCTTCTATCTCTTTTCTATTGGAATTAAGTGATTCCAATGCGTCTCTCATGCAAATCATCATTCAGCAACCGTCCACCAATAAGAATGCAAAATTATAACTTCTGATATGGTATGTTACTTCCACTCACATAAATAGCTTGAATTCCATATTGAATAGTAGGAGGGACTGGAGCAAGTGAAAGAAAGAAGCATCCTTCAAATGCATCCAAAGAGCATTCCCTAAGATGAGACAGTCAGAATCTAAGATCTAATGTGGGGAACCACATCACTTCTGAACCATCTTAGGACGTCGCATATATGGGTGGAAAACAGAGGAGCACATGCAATATTTATGAAACTCAATCCCAGAAATTATAAAAATGAGGGTAAAATGAAAAGGATGCGCCCCTAGGTGTAGAGTGGCTAGGGTGTGACGAACCATACATGGCAAGTAAAGTACATTCAAAACCCATGCTACTGGGAACCGACATCCATGCGGGGTTAAGATAAGGTTCATACTATCAGTAAGTCAACTATAATCCAAAACCTGGCTGCCAGGTACCAACATATATATGTGGAGGGTAGGAAAGAAGATCATATCACTGGCAAGTCAACAACAATCCAAAAACCAGCCATCTAGTGGGGGTAAGAAAGAGGACTGTACTGTCTTTACCTCAAGTTCATGAGACCAGAGGGAATCTAGTACCCCCAACTCATGAATGGGGCACATGTGAATATGATAAATTGATAGATTGATCCTCGAACCCAACATCCAGTATTGAAGAGATGTCTACATAATGTAAGTTATCTCCCTCAAAAGTGAAATTGACCAGAACCCAAGCACATTAACATCCTCAGAATAAGAACTATTGAGGGACAGCAGAAGGGAAAGAACCGTAACAATCCGCTATGAACCCATTAAACGCGGATGACGGATATTTCTGTCAGTGAAGTTCTATGGCTCAGCTGCAAATGACGGAAATATCCGTCAGTCGCACACATATGTGAATGATGATAATTACCATTTTATTGTGATTGATGGCAACTGAGCTGCTCCTGCAGCAGTTATTGGGTTAACTCCAATATGACACAACAATGATGGAGTTTAAATGAGGGAGGAATATAGACATCTGTAATGCATGTGTGAGGACTTATGTTGATTGGTTCTACTCTAAATCCAAAACCTGGCCACTGAGAACTGGCATCCATGTGGGGGTAGGATGAGGGATCCCAATCACTAAAAACCACTGCCCCACTCTCAACTGAATGGTTTTATAATCATTTCTATTTTTTGTTTATATTTCATTAACCTATTCGGGAAAATGGCTCCACAGTGAATACCTGCAGGATCAGGTAAAATGAAAAGTGTGGGACAAAACCGCCCAAAAATCTGAGGAGATGGAAGACCCCCCCCCCCCGCCCCCAAACAAAAAAAAAAAAATTAGCGATGAAAA